GGAGCCCTGGAACAGGCTGCCCAGGGAGGTTGTGGAGTCTCCTTCTCTGAAGGTATTCAAGACCCACCTGGACCAAGTCCTGTGCAGCCTGCTCTAGCTGACCCCGCTTCGGCAGGGGGTTTGGATCAGATGATCCACAGAGGTCCCTTCCAACCCTGACCATTCCGTGATTCTGTCCTCTGCCTTTGTCATATGACAGCCCACTCCTGCTACACCCGGTCCCCAGCATGAACCAAAGTTTTAGCTAGAGTGAGGGGGGTATAAGTTGAATAGACACTAAAAATGCTTTGAGACTAGAAAAGCGATACAAAAGGGATAGGATTTACTCTGGCCAAAGTGAAATCAACAGCTCCCATCTGAAATAACCAAGATACAGAGTGTACAAACTAAGAGCAAAGGGGAAGCCAACAGAAACTGAGAACACGGACAGATGCTTCTGTTGTCTATGTAATATACTGGTACAGGACGGATTGGATTACAACAGACCTAAAACAGGGCCAAAATAAGAACACAAAAAATTGTCTCAGAGTGATAGTGTCTCAAATAGAAGAGTAAAATAAGAAAACGATCTTCATCAAGAATACAACCTACAAATATCTGTATACAAGATCAAGAAAAATAAAACCACAAATGTGTTAACTAGAATGTTTTGCTATAAAGAAAGATCTTGGTACAACAAACGTTGCAGAAATCTCACAAGCTACAATCACTAACATCATGCTATAACACCTACTTACAAATGTGCAGGGAGAAGTAATTACATGTGAGGCTGGTGAGATGAAGAACTAGAGCTACAGGTGAAGACTTCATAGCACAAAGAAAAATAACAATTTTTAATAGAAGGACAGCAGTACTGAATACATAGAAATATGAATCCTTGGATATCCTGTGGTTATGCACAGAATATCTATGCATATTACTGGAGCTGTCTATACTAGTCTCTGGATCAAGAAAAAATGAGAAATTATGAAACCAAGTGCACAGCATTGGCAGAGGTGGAAGAAGCAACGAGTCCTAATAATGTGAGACTACAGCCATCAAGAAGCAAGTCAAATAGCACAGTGGAACAGCAATTCAGAGAGAGTTCCCCATCTCTGTAGATGTCTGCTTCCTGGACCTGCAAAATGCAGGTGTAGTAAGAAAAACCACCTTGACCTAGCCTTAAGAAACACCCAGTTACAAATTCAGAAAGTGAATACATACTGTTAGGTTTGATGTCCAAGGGACAGATGTGGTATCAAAAAATAATGGTATGACAAAAACAGAACAGATGATCTTAATAAAATGAGAAAATTAATCAACTCCCTAGCATTAAAAGTAAACCTGTATGGACGTTGCTTGTGAGACCACTGTTTTCCAGAATGCATACATACATTTCTGATCTGCTCCTGAACCAGGAATGCAAGAAATAAACTTCTATAGTTACGAAATAAAGTGATAGAGGACATTCAACATGGAAAAAAAAACCCTTCCAAATTTGGAAATCTGACATTTAAGAATACCTTTATGCACCACCATGTAAGTAATAAAAGGAAATGCAAAAAAAATAGAAACTGATTTTGAAGAACAGATAGAGGGAAGAATGAAACAAATTCTCTGAGTTCATCAAAAGATGGAACCCTACCAAACAGTTGGTGGGCTCTATGGATCATCCAAAGTTAAGGGAGAAAAGGAAGACAACAGGGACAGTGTTATGACTCTAGTAAATTTAATTGCTGAAAGCAGGGAACTTTTTAAACTAGATATAGTTTTTCCTTATAAGAAAGACACAAGTGACAGCAAAACCAGTGATTAAATCACTGATGACTGATATTTTAAAAAATTAATAAGCCCCCAGACCCAGGTGGCTACATCCAGTGAATTGAATTTAGGAAGTGACTAAGCTGCCAAGAAAAAATGTGCAATTTCATTAGAAACAGTTTATGCTCCAGGGGACTGTGTACAACAAATATAAAATACATGTTTAAAAAGTTGTAAGAGTCATGGACCTTATGAATTATCTCAGACTAATTCAAAGAATAATACATAAGACTAATAAACCAACAGAACCATGGCTTAAGATCATCTACCACATTTTTTTTTCAAAGAAAAATGTCCCATTAATTTCCTTTTCATTATTTTCCCATAATTTCTTTGAGAATTCATTCATAAAGTGGTAGATAACAGGTAATCAGTCAAAATAATGCAGCTAGACTGTCAAAAAGCCTTAGGTAAGGTAACAGACACGTACTATTAAGGAAAGCAAGCAGGGAGGGGCTGAAAGACAAAGTTTTATTGTGGAGCAGACACTGGCCTCACATAAAGACAAAGATGTGAGAGATTTTAATTGTTGCAAAAAATTAGCAGAGGGGATATGTAAAGAATGCTAAGCCTGGTTATGTTGATAATTGGGATAGTTGAGCCTAGGACAGGATTAAGATGTTAATGCGAACCTTTTTTTCATGGCTACAACATGAAACCTGGTTTCATGATTACAACTGCAGTTCTCTCCTCACCTCTCTGCCCCACCTCCATCCCTTCCCATCACTGTTTCCCTTCCAAAGGCAGAAGACCTTGGGCTGGCCCTCACCCCTTCATCTCTGAGCCTCAAAATCCTGTTTTGCCTTCGTGTCTGAGAAGCCTTGGGTTAGCTGTAGGCAAAGGCCATAGGGGTGAATATGCGATCGGATTCCCTTTCTTTGGCTGGTCTAATCAGGATGTCTCACAGCATTAGGACAGTAAATATCCACCAAGGCCAAGGTAAGTTTTAGTATCCCAAGCTATACAGGACTAGAAGCCATGAATGGAAAACTCCCAGGTTTTCCTCCCCCTCCATTTGCCAAGTCCCAGAAACAGAGTGTAAAAGACGGGCTGGCAACCTCATCACATCTATGTTAGCCAGTTGAAACTCATTTCAATGCTTCCAACAATGACACATCTCTTCCTTTTTCCAGAATCACTTAGCTCATTCTCCTGACCTTCCAGGAGCCTTAAAGACCCTTTTATCACTGTGTTCTCCACATAAATAACCCAGCACGTACCAGCCTATCTGTCTCTAGCGTCCCTTGCTTTCACAAACAATTTTATGCAATATGCTTACTCAGACTTTTGTTAACCTTGGACCTTTTGTGCAACAGTTCTGTGTTGCTTAACGTGTTTATTAAAGTATCTATCAAAAAGAGTAAACAGTAAGAGAGAAGAAAGAGCAGATGCCACCAACTTACTCGTGTTAGTCAGGACCAGGGATGGCAATGAAGAACATGACAGAGCTATGTATGTTAAGTCACCACAACAGCAAATGAGACTCCATACAGAAGACTGAAAGGTAAACTAAGCTGGGTGTGGAGAGAGGGAGAACATAAACCATATATAGACCTTCCAAATGGCACTAGCCGTGGCCCTTGAGAAAGACATTGTCGCATACAGGCTAATGAAAACCATTGCTCAGCCTATGGTTGTGTTGACAAGGGAGAAGCAGGAAATTAGGATGCAGGAGAAATGAGCTAGTGATGTACGCAGAGAACCCAGGCACTGCTGCATCTGGAATAATGTAAGCAGCCTCGCCTCTGGCATCTGCAGAAGGAATCACAAAGCTGGGAAATAGAAGTGGGTGATGAAAACATTCACCTGGAAACATTCTCATGAAGGGACTGAAGGGATTCAGTCTCTCGGCTTTAGAAAGGAGGTGAATGAGAGGGAGGGCAGTAAAGGTTTGCAAAATAATGAATGGCCTAGCAAGGGCAGTTTGTGAGAACTATTCTCAAAACTCAGAGCAAAGCAACAGTTAAGAAATGGGAAAAGCAGTGAGGCTGAGAGCTAAGCAAGACTCAAAGGGTCTGGGTGTAAATATCAAAACAAAATATCTGGAACTGTTGCAAAGATTTTGTGAAGCAGAGTAAGCTCATGTTTCAGGATTTAAGATGGCCTTTGCTTATTAGCAATCAAGAAGAGAGCCCTTAGGGTAAAGAGATGATTACTCCATACATGTTTCCATGGTTCATCCCTCCTTCCTTTGGAACATCTGGTGCTGGCAACTGTCCAAAATGGGAGATGGGACTAAGGGACCCCCTCAGGCCTGATATATTTGGTAATTCCTGATTGCCTAAAAAACATTCTAAATTGTAACTTCGTTGTTATTCCCTGTGAGCAAACAACTTCTGTGCTCTTTATTACTCAGCTCTCCATTTTAGTCCCCTGAGATTTTACCAACCAGATGCTGCATGTGTGTGTATTTAAGGAATACTTCATGACTCTGCAGTTTCTCGGGGCTTCTCTTCGGAGACTCTGTATTAACTAGAACGACTTTTTTTCCCTCTAGCCTCCACAAGGTCAGCCTGGATCAATGAAATCTCAGACTGGACCTCAGCTTGGACAACTGTCCCAGCCACGGCCTCCTCCCCAAGGTACCGTTCTCTGGACCCCATGACAGTGTGGACTGAGACGTATCAGTTTTCTTTCTAAACAAAAGCTATCGGGACAAAAGTTTCACTCATTGTTCCAGGTCACTGACAAGCAGGCAGCAAATTCAGTGCGTTGTTAAAGCAGCTGCTGTCGTATTTCACAGCAGCTCAAAGTGGAGTGAAACTTCGATACAGATCCAGTTGACACTGCCGGTAGAACTTCACTCAGCAAAGCAAGGCCACTTGAAGTGGCACTGCAGCAGGATTCCGGGCACAGAGTGGATTTATGTTTGCACAAAGCTGCAGTGGCTGCAAGTGTTAAGGAGTGATGGGAAGATGCTGGTGCTGTCAGGCTTGGAATAGACACGAACACTGTGACGCCAGGATCCTTGATCCACCTGTCTAGCTGTTTCCCTGTCAGCTCCTCCTGACAGCAGAAGCAGGTTAGACTTATGTCATTGGTCAGAACAACAGCTTTGGTTTACTGCCCTGATTTACACCGAAGTGACAAAGCACAGCGCTGTCCTGTAGGTATCCAGACCACACCAACCACTCAATTCACATAACCAGTTAGACCCTCCTTTTTGCCACCTGTGTCCTTTCATTTCTTCACCCCAAACTCCTACCAAATTAACACCCACTCCTAATCACCTTTTCCTCATTGGTCACAGTATTGCTGTATTCAGAATTTGGCATTTCTGGTACCACAGGCATCTACGTAATCTTGGCATTATAAGCTATTATTGATATGATGACCTAGGAATTACAGGCCTTGCAGGATACTACTTCCCCATCTGTCTCCAGTACACCAGTTCTCTGTGAAGTTTTTTCTCACATAACTCCCCCTTGACCACCTGTGAAATCCAGCCTGCCCTCATAACACTATCTGTAACTTTTGTCAGCTTCTCACACTGTTATGTCTAGCAATTTCTCATGTCACATCCAATGATTCTCCACATCCTCTTCAGTTTTGAGAGTCTGCTGCCACCGTGGCTGAAGCCACCTGCTGATAATGCTGGAACAGATATATGCGTAGCGGTAGGGCACACAGGCTCACATCAAACGGCTGGGCCCACAAAGGCACTGCTGACCCAGACCAGCAGATTCAGCTTTCAATTACGGCACAGTTGGTTCACCAGTGACTCTTCCCAGCACAGAAGTGCTTGCCAAGGGTAAGAAATATTAGTTACATGGAAGAGTACAGCATGTTGAATTGACTCCCTTTGGGGAGAGCGGCAGAGCTTTTTTAGTCCTGAAGGAGGTAGAGAAATGGACCACAACTCTAGAGACACCAGTGTTGGGCCTATAAAAGTGGTTTTCCCTTACCCTTCTTGCATGAAGCTACTCTGCATAGTCTCTCCCCTTAGCAAAACCCAGTCTTCCATATAGATGCTCCTTGCTTGTTGTCCACCACGTGCACTGCGTCATGTTTATGCCTACATGTCCCTTTCAGGTGGACCACGCCAGCCTCAGGGATCTCAGCCTCCACGGACAAACGCACCTCCACAGCAGCGGCTCTCTCCTCAAGGACAGCAGCCCCAGAGTCCCCAGTCCACTTCACCTCAGCAGCAAAGGTCACCTGGATCTCCACAGCAAGTCAGATCAGCAACTGCGTCCTCTCCAGTTCAGGCTTCCAAGGCAGGCATGTTCCCTCCACAGCAGCCTAGACCTCCTGCTCAAGGCCGGGCTCCCAGCCAGCCAAGCCCCACCGAAACATCCAAGCAGCAAGCCACCCCACACCCACATCTCAAGTAGGTGCTTTGTTAAAACTGCTAAGATCTGTAGATATCAGAATAAGGCTATCAAAAAAGTACCCTGAGCGGGCATGAAGAACACATCACCTGTTGTCAGGCAGCACTCTCCAGGGACAAAGGCCTGGACAACTATGAGTGACTTCAGAGGTACATATGCCTGGGCACAACAGGCCACCATTGAACTGCTGTCAGCAAGAACAGGCTGTACTTGACACCTCTAAGGTTTCACACTCTTCCTCTTGCTCATCCGCTCGTAGTTAACCGTGCACTCTACCCCGGCCAGATCAGCACAGCTACCGCCTTCACAGCAGGGTGCATGCTCCTTGCAGGCTGTCACCCACACATTACCGGCCAGGAAGCTCTGCAAATCATTCCTTCACTATGCCCTGAATGCAGGAGCCACACCAGGTTCTTTATTAGGCAATTTTCTGCAACTGGTAGCAAAAATAAGG